ATAGTGTGGTCATTCTTCGTCATGATCATACCTCCTCATCGATGGTAAACAACACTGATGACCGAAACAATGCTTACCAGAGGGAAACTGAAGCACGAGGGAGATAAAGTGCCTCAGGTATTTTGTATAAAAGGAAGTGTACAGTTAGAGTAAACGGGTGTGTGTTTGATGAAACAGGAGACTTCTAATATGCTTTGATGGACTCATTTAGACATAAGCATTCTTAAGAGCTGATTTTGCAGTCTTTAGATATATGATTCAACAAGTCGAATGTCTGTCTGGTCTTTCTATTTGATACTCTTGAGTTACTTGTGTTCCACGATATATCATATTCTCTTAATTCTCTCCGGAAGAGTCTCATACCTCTTCAGAATCTTCCATAGTATACATCCGGAAGTTACCATTATACAATAAATATATGAAACTCCAATTAACCTTAATGTTTTTAATTTTAAATATGGATCCCATTTTGTTATTGTTATCGACGTAAGAATGACGATCTTCCCACCACAGCCACTAATCTTCGGGATCGCATAGCCATTTGCTTTTCTGGTGCAACTCGAATGGACCGATAGATAACTCATCTTTCTACCTCGTCTCCAAACAACCACAGATTTCATCTCTTAGGCCTATGGATTTTGTTGGAGGCTACTAATTTGTGATTTTATGGCTCATCATATTAATTGAGGAGACACTAAAATGAAAATCTTAGGTGTCACTCAAAGAGGATTTTAGGGACATATCATTTAAGTTAACCAACAAAATTTTTTTAATTAAAACTATAAGCTATGATGGAAATATTAATATTTTTATTAATTTTATAACATAAACTCATTCATACATGTTTTACAAATTTAAGCCAACTAAATATAAGATTTTAAATTTATCATATCATCTTTCTTTTTTTCTGATAACAAGCTTTTTATTATTATATTTATAACAATATTACATATTCTATATATATTCATTTATATTAGTAAAATATACAAATATTTTTACTATGATGTAGTCTATGATACATATTTAATCACACATACATATATTTATACATTTTGTTATTGGAAAACATATATTTTTTTAGTTTATTATATCATAAATATTCATATAAATCTAAAATTGATTTGATTTATCGTATGGTAATTTACACGAATAATGAAGATCATTTTTACACTTAAAAGCTATTGAAATAAAATTTGCATATATTTAGATCAATTTTACACAAAAATATAAAAACTAATGGTATTAATATATGCTTGATGAAATAGGCCAATACATATTTTTTGATGAAATTTTTTAATTACATTCATGCACAATACATATTTTTTTATATCTTTATAGATATTAAAAAATAAAATCATATGATTTATCATACACGATTAAATATTAAAATATTATATTATATAAATATATTAAAATTAATCAGCCAATCTATTTAATCATTTAATCTTGTGCTTTGGCGCGAGACAAAATCTAGTGACTAGTGCCCAATTAATAGGTTAGAACACGAATTTGGGATTTTCGTGGTTTCGGATCAGGTTTTATATGAGGTGGATATCTGGACTTGGGCCTCGATACCATTGGACCCAATTCTGGTCTGATCTGGAATTAATTCCACATCAAAGATGCCACGTAAATGCCACATCAGTACAGTTTTTTTTTTGAAAAAAAAAAAAAATTTGAAAAAACGCATCAGTACAGTACATCAGTACAGTTAACATTCAGTCAACAGAAGTTGCTCTAATGATGCTTAGGCCATGATTACTGTTTCTGTTTTCTTATGGTAATGTGTTACGTTTTCAAAGTCTCTGTAATTTTAGGCGGAATCTCTTATCTGGTGTAGAAATTGGTCCAAATGGTTTAGCTATAGAACGTTTTTCCTTTATTTTGTAGAATTTCGAGATTTTATTGGTAGTCTGTAATATATCATCCTTACTTTGATTAATAGCACAACGATACTAGTATATACTCATATTGATGTGCTATTCAAGTGAAGATGATATCATTACACACTACCGATAAATATACTAGTATTTCTAACCACAAACAAAATGATCATAAGTTCAAAAAAAACAAAATGATCATCTTATTCTATTTTAGTTTTCAAAAAATATTATCTTCGT